GAGACATTGGGATCAAAATTCCCTTTATCAATAATGGCATTTACTGCAGTTTTCTGGGTTCCATCTTCCGTGGACTCTTGACCATCCACATCAACCGATTCTGAAGACTTCTTAGAAGTACCTTTTTTTGCCCAAAGTGCCTCACTTGAGTCTGCAATCCTAACAAAAAAATGAGAACTCTCAAATCTTTGCAATAAAATTTCCGCCTGTCTCTTGTGATCCTCCATTCTGAGAAGAGATTCACTAGCAGAAACATCCTTTTGTGAACCAGTCTTCTCCTTTGAAAGGGTTTCACCATTATGATCTGCACCTTGACTATCAGGACTCATATCTCCCTTTCCCAACAATGTACCATTGCCATCTTCCACATTTCCATTTTGTTTCTTTGGGCTGAGTCTTAAGCCATTTTTACTCATGGCTGCAGCTAATTTAAAGGGAGTGATAATTTCTGTGTCCTGCTTACACGCTGACAAGCATGCAAGGACATGGACTTGTTCACCTGGATTAAAAAATAGATTTCAGGTCCTAATGAAGGATGTGTCCTCCATGTGAATATATAAAAAGGCATGTCAAGACCGAAAGAGTCAGGAGATTGAAGAACTACCAGGGAAAACAAAGGACCGGTCCAGAGAGCGTAATGACTGTATATCCGGTGCATCATTCCAATTATCAGGGAGTTCTTCTGCAAGAGCAAAACAAGCTTTATGCATACTATTTTATAATCACCATGATAGAATTACTTATTTAATACATAATGTAAGCACTTAGTCAACTACATTTGTGTATATCATAACTCAGCTAAAGTGCACACCCAGAAGAGAACATGCGATCCTACACTCTATGCAAAATATCAGAACATAGTTCGAGTATAATGGAAAGCACTTACTATATGGAATGGAGATCCATCCCTCCTCATCAGAGACATCATAATGCTTTGCTATGACAGAGGTTTCTTTCTCTGCACCAATTCCATTTTCACCTCTAGCTTCACTTTCTCCAGCATTATCTTCGATTGTGGAATACTGTGGATATGAATCTTCACCAATTAGACTCTCCAAGGTTGTTGCAGATTTTGGGGTAGGATACGTCTCTGCAGGTGGTTCGTGAACAGGAGGCACAGGCGGTACAAAAGGAACAGACGGCTGCTCTGCTGTCACACGCTGTACATGCTGAGTAGATCGCATAAGGAAATTCATTGTCCCACCACTGCAAAATCAATAAATGTTGTCAGTCAAATGAAACATGGGTTATGTTAAAGCAGGCGAATGTGTATGTATAGCTTGAACATGCGAATCCATCCCAATGAAGCTGGTGTGAATCTCATCGACACGGCAATTAAAAGTGCCTAGCTAGTGAAATTCACCACCCGAAAATTCTCCATCACCTTCCTAAACGCATTTTTCATGCACCCGAATTTCCGACACCCGCAGTCAAACTCCACTGGCAAGCCATCCAAATCATAGGCTTTTACTACACTACTTCAAAAATGGCCACTTGATCAAACAGTTCAAATACTCTAAATCTGAATGCATGATTCATGGCATTTGTATAACAAATAAGCAAACAAAAATCACAATCTAGAAATCCTCACAACCCGATACGAAATCTGTAAAGCTCTCTCTGGTTCCAAAGATTCGGCATTGGAATTGAATTTCGAGATTGGCCTTCCAATGCCGAATCCAGAGTCACAATTGACTGAGAATCAAAATCTAAATTCCATTTAGCAGTTCTTCAGAACCAAATCTACTGACCTGAGATCGAGTCCTCCGTCGAACCTTGGCGGTGATCGCAATCCCGGAAGGTTTCGAAGCTGAAAGCCCTAATTGTTCGATTCCGGTGCTTCTCTCCCCTGAAATGTCCGAATCCTAAGCTCCGGAAGTTGACGACGGTGATGCGATGGTGGAGTACGATCAGAGTTCAGAAGGGAGAGTCTGCGAGCTCTGATTGTGAACTTCGGGTTCCCTTTCACCACTGCGTTGCCACCATAACCGTCACTGTAAAAACTAAAAGGAACATAATAGTTTGTTGGTTTTTTTGGCCCCGAGACTTTTAAATTCATGAAGCCCAACAGAGAAGGGAAAAAGACTACGAAATTCGGCCCAAATAAATTGGGCCCTAGCTACAGGTTTTCCTTTTTTTTTTTTTTTTTTTTTTTTTTGGGTAAATTAATGTTCATCTAGACGATTTGAAAATTGGTTAGTCATTCATATATGTCAAATAAATCGACAATTATGGTATCTAATAACATATTCATGATGAACCCTATATTTATTTAATTTATATGAATAATCAAACGGTCTCCAAATCGATTAGATATTTAAATAGATACCAATGAATGGTTATAATTATAACGTTTGTATAGTAAAATAATGCCAACTCGTGTAAAAATTCGTACATATAAAAAGTCAAAACAGTGTATAAAAGTAGACTGGTTAAGGAAAGATTTTTTAGTATGCCCAGAACATGGCATCCACGCCACATATTTCTATTCAAGTGATATAAAGTTTTTCTTTTAGTGTCATTCCAATTATATAATTAAATGTTGTGTCTCTGCACATTAACAAATCTCTCGTAATTAACATAAGCATGTGAACTAAGTCCGAAAAGCAAATACATTTGGGAACTGGATCCCCTCCTGAGCTTAGGAGGCCAAACCTCTTGAGCAAAGGATCCAGGGCGTTGAAATTTGGTCAAATGATTGCAGTTATTATAACTTTTAGAGAGACCTTCCATTTGTAGCCGTTTGATCAAATTTTAACGATCCAGATTCTTTGCTCAAGAGGGGATCCAGTTCCATATATTTGTATTTATATGATAACTTAATTATATATATATATATATATATATATATTGGACAAAACGACATCTTTGTTTTATGGACAACTAATTTAATGATCTGCTTTGGTGTAATGAACTAATGATGAGTATGACACATACAATTTTAAAGATTATCCAAAACAATCAGTCTCATCACTTGCATTTCTAATTTTAACGTTTACTTTTATTTTTTAATCTTGTTATATTTTTTTGTGAACTACATTTTTCTTATAAATTAAAATGTAGGACGTGAATTTGCCAACCCATGTCGATTACTGGATGCTTTGGAGGAGTGGGCAACTGCTTACACAATTGAACCTAGTTTTTGCATGCGTGGCTCATTAAATAGATTTGCTTACTCAATGACAAGGATTCATATGACACGATCAGAGATGAAGTCATAAAGAGACCATTATCGTCCCAAGCTCTTCCTAATATATTTTTTAACACAGAAAAGTTAGTGTTATACTTGTGATTTTCAAGATTTTCCGTAAGCGTGGAGCTCCAATCCGACATTTTTACTTTAATTTGTTCATCGAAGTTGATTTGAGATTGGTGGCTCTTATCACCAACTGCCTATGAAGTTCAGGCAATTTGTTGCTTGTGAACTTTGAAGAAGACTCTAATTTGGGGGCAATGGAAGGAAAGAGGAAGAAAGTCAGAGATTTAGTGTTTAGGTTTAAGGAAGAAGATGATAAAGACGTTATCATATCAGATCCAAGACACGATGATCGATTACCCATTGCATGCAGAGTAATTTTTGTAAGCTTAAAAAAATATTTCGGATTGAAACTTTTAAATATCTTCAAGGCTAAAATCCTGATTCCGCTATTGAACGCAATTACCCTGTCAAGGACACATCTCATATTAATACATAAAAACAGTGTAGATTTTTATCTATATATTCTTATTTTATTAATACGAAACGTGGTGTAACAACGAAACTGCGTTATATGGATTATTCACCTGCTCAATTAGCTCTTGTACTTACATGACACGTCAAGCACAGCGGCGCCTAAACAAAGGAACAGCACAGGACGATGCGGACTGGAAAAGTATGATTAGACGTTGGTTAGTGCGTTTTTGAACTCAAACTCCAGTTTTGTTTTGTTTGGACCCAGCTTCGTTTGACAACGACTGGGAACCCAAAAAGATTTAATTAATGAAATGGAGCGGTGATTAAGATGTGATTAGGAGGTGAAACCAAGGGAACCCGCATAAATTAATTAATCAATTGGATGAGGCTTACCGACATCCCACAGCCAAACTCCACAAGAGTCACAAAGGTGTGTGTGGGATGTGGACTACCGACATCGAGTTCGGATTCTCGTTGGATCATTTTTGTAAGGATATTGGGAATTCGTTAATCGTTTTTATTCATTGTATATCGTGTAGTCAAAAATCAGTTTAAATATTTTTATTTAAGAATAAATATAAACAGTATTTGACAAAAACTGTTTGTACGATATACAATGAACAGACACGATTCACAAATCCTTAAGATCCTTACCAAAAGAATCTGAAGAGGATCCTGTTGGACCGACATCCACCACAACACTCCAAACGATGACAAAGGGGTGTGTGGGATGAGGATAACCAGAATCCCACCAAAACAATGACAAAGGAAAGATCGTAAGTGGATCTTTTTTCGTAAGTGAATATTTTTTCAAATTACCATGTATTCCTCCAAATTTTTTGAAATATAAGCAATGTTGGAGAGTTTAAATTCAGAATGCAACGGTTAAAACATAAGACTTAAACCACCTAAGCAATCTATTATGGCATCTACTCTTCATTCTTTGTTTTTGTTTTTGAGAGCACTTTTCATTCTTTGATCAATACTTATAAACGTGAATTCACTCACAGCATCCCCAATGAATTCTTTAAATGAGCTCCTAGCCAAAATATGAAGAGAAATCGAAAAATTTCATCTCCAATCACACTTTCTATCATGCTTTTAAATTTAGAGAGAAGTCGGAAAATCTAAAAAGTAAGAAAGATGGCACTAGCATTCGTTATTATTGTTTTAATAATATTTTAATAAAAATTTTATTTCAATTGATTCATAATTATTATGACTTTTTACTCTTTAGCCTTTTTTTTTTCCTGAAAAACGAATAGCCCAAACAAAACTATTAGAATAATAAATTAAAATATTTCAATTTGACTCTGCACAATTTGCTATAGCCTTGCTTCAAAAAAAAAAAAAAAAAAAAAAAAAAAGGGGGAAATTCAGATTTATTTAGTTTTCGCACTAATTAAGCCAAAAACGATTGATTTTTCTCCGCGATTATTGTTAATTCGAAAACACAACAACCTGCACTAGATATTTTCGAATTTGAAAATCCTGATGGGTTCCCTTTCACTATGAGCTCACTTTCTCACAAAAAATGTTCATCAAAGCTGCTATCTTTACATTTCATATGTCATAAAACTCACCCAGTAATCAATGGGCGACGCCAATTGATAAACTTCTTTGAATTTCTGCGTGCTCTGCTCGTTTTCTCAACTGGGTTTTCTCCAATTTTTTAACTTTACGGGTGCCCACATGGGATTGGGACTCGACCGAACACAGAGCGGCGCAGGTTTTGTGGAAGTGATTGGAGAACAGGGACGATGGAATCGGAGCTGGGTTTAATTGAGCAGTCGTTCATCAGCCGCTACTCGCTCTGGGTCCAGGAAGCTCTGGGGGAATTGGCCGACAGCTTCACGATCACTGACCCTTGGATTTCCGGGCACCCAATCGTGTTCGCGAGCAAAGAGTTCCTGAAAATGTCGGGATATTCGATGAACGAGGTGGTCGGGAGGAACGGCAGAGTGTTTCAGGGTCCGGGGACTTGCAGGCGGTCGGTCATGGAGGTCCGGGAGGCCATCAGGGAGGAGCGAGATGTCCAGGTTAATTTGCTGAATTATCGGAAAGACGGGACGCCGTTTTGGATGCTGTTTCATATGTGTCCTGTTTTTGGGAGGGAGGACGGGAGGCTGATTCATTTCGTGGGAGTTCAGGTTCCGATTTCGAGGAAGCCGAGGCGGTCTGGTGGGAGAAATGGGGTTGGTTTGTGTGAGGAGGGGTCTAGGATGAGTGAGATTGTTTACGGATCGTGTCGAAAAGAGGTGTGCTTTGATTCTTTGGTTGATTTGGGTCGTGTTTTGTCATTGGAATCTGCATTGGATGATGCTGATAGCAGAGGTTCGTGTAATGCAATTTCTTAATTTTTTGTTCCAAGTAATGTTGTGATATGTTACTTTTTCAATTGTTGTTTCCTGTTGTCTATGATTGTTGGTGATGTTAATCTTAAACTACATTGTTTTCGGTGTTCTAGCTGTGTTGATTGCGGTTTCTGGTTTTGATTGTGACCAAATTTTTGTTGTGCTTGAGTCTTCGTTTACCATGTAAGACGCAGGATTCAACATTGAAGAATCGTGTGAGGCAAGTGATGTAGAGAAGACGAGAGCTGCAACTGCGATTAATAACATCTTGTCCGTGTTAACGCACTATAGCGAGTTAACGGGCAGATTAGTTTGTGGGAAGAGATGCAGCTTATCAGGGGTGGGACTTCTCAGTTCAGCCTTAAATATATCTCTTGGTAGAATCAAACAAAGCTTTGTATTGTGAGTTGTTGCAAATTCTCATTTCCTTACTTTGCAGAAGGTTTCATGCTTTCTGAAGATTGCTGATGAGTGTACATTTTGTTTGCTTCGATATGATTGTGTTGCTTTCAGAACTGATTCGCACTTACCGGATATGCCTATAGTTTATGCAAGTGATGCCTTCTTCAAATTGACAGGTAACATGTGCAATGTTAGCTATTTGCCAGGGTCTTTCTTAACCATCTCAACTCCATGTTGTTTGCAAATCTTTTGAATAATCCAGCATATGCAGTTACTCAACTTAGTTGCTTTCCCTGTATAGGTTATGCCAGACATGAAGTCTTGGGGCGTAATTGTAGATTTTTGAGTGGGGCGGATACAGATCCCTCAATGATATGTCGGGTATTTTCCCTTTTTCGTCGTGATTATGTCGTCACCATATATTTTGGTGATTGGGTGGAATAGATAGATGTTAGTGCATATCCCATTTTTGCTTGTTTTCCCCTCAGATAAAGGAAAGCATTCAAAACGAAACAGCATGCACAGTACGTATCTTGAATTACAGGTTGCTGCTTAACTATTTGTTCTATATGTTCCACATGCACTACAAATTATTCATCGGATTTGACTTTGTTGCTATTTCATTCTCAGGAAGGATAAAAGTTCATTTTGGAATCTCCTTCACATATCACCTATTCGTAATGCTTCTGGCAAGGTACTTTATGGCTAAAGCTTTCACGACTCTAGTTGAATCTTATTTTTTTGTACTGTTAATTGTTTTTGTCTATGAGATGTATTGGTGTGCCTTTGCTTGGAGAAAAGTAAGGCAGAAAATGCTTTTCAATTGATCAACCTTTTCTGGTATACAAATATGCAGTTTCGTTTTTGGGGGACTAAGTTTCCTTCCTTTTTCTCTTGTATTGGGATTGCTTCACAGTTCACATACAGTTGACTTCCATGTTTGTGTGGAACCGTTTGAACAAATGAGAAAATTATATTAGCTAAGACATTATTAACTTGGAGATGTGTTGGCAGAGCTGTAACTATGCCTTTTGTGTTGTGCAAGCATTGATGGATAATATCATCAGAGGTGTTACAGTTTACCAATTTCTAATCTTTCTCCATTTTATGAAAGAATTGAACCTCTTGATATTTTGGCCTGTTGAATGTGGTTGCTCATTTTCTTTATAAATCCCATTTACGAGTCTTAGGCACAGCATCCTTGAATCCCAAGGATCCAGATTAGTACTCAACTGGCAGTGCTAATTGACAAAATCACTTTAGTTCCACTTTACCCAATCTATTGGTATGGACCCAGTTGCTCATCTTGTGTCTCTCTGTTTCTCTTACTATGTTTATGGCTGTTCAGATTGCATACTTTGTCGGTGTTCAGACGGAAGAAGGGTGTAAGAACCAGGTCGAACATGGGCTAAGCCCTGAGATGAGGCAGCTTAGCGCTGTTGGTGCAGTCAGAATTGCAGTGCGGAGCTTAACAATGGGTGCCGGCCCTTCCAAGTCTTAAGAGAGTAACAACCTCTGCATCTTGCTTGCTGCTAGTGCCGCCTTATATCTCACCAATATATCCCACAGTCCCATGCTAGAAATTTATTCCATTGTAACACATTAATTTATGTTCTTATCTGGCAGTAGATGGAAATGCAGACATCGGAAAAAAGTTTGGTTCGTTGCCACATCCGATCCTTGTTACACTTAATTGTTCATATATAAAAGGTCTGTCAGTGGAAATTTATCAAGTTTCAGCTCGAAACTCTCAGACTCACTCCAGCTTCAAGCTGCTCATGATGATTGGCCTTCTTCTCCGCGGTCGTTTATCTTTCTTCTGGTGTTTGTCCTCTTTCTGTGATGTCTTCCTTGTTTCGTGTATTGTACCTTTCTTTGCAAGAAAAGAAATGTGCAGAAAGCAATTTGGAGTTGCAATCATCTATTAAATTAAACACCAAAGTTTGTGTTCCGGTTTGGTTGTGTTCTTATCAAAAGAATCAGGCTTAATATTCCCAATTTAAGTCGGGAAAATAAAATGGCTTCAAAGTTGTAGGTTTGAGCATCTAGGCTAGCCTGTATTAGGCAATTTTCTACACTACACCCCAATTCACTAAAATTGTTGATATTTTCAAATTACCTATGAAAATTTTAAATATCGTGAGAATATAGTGCTTCACCTCTTTTCGATTATTTACAAGCCCATTTACAAATATTTTTTTTCTTATAAAGTAGGGCAATTGGTGACAAGTCACAATTATCCATCCCTCCCGAGAGCCATGAAGAATCACAGAGATATTTTAACCTCCCATGGCCACAAATCTGTCTTCCACATCAACATCGAGTTTTGAATCCAAGACCTTTAAATTTTTTGTTTTAAGGAAGTCTCGTAATTCGTCATTTACCACTTGGCTACCAGCTCGTGGTTCATTTACAAATACTTGATAATTTTAGAGATATTTATAACCTTACTTAAAATGCTTATGGAAATTAGGTAGTTAATTAAAGACTTGTTTGTAAGTATCTTTAAAATGACAAAAAAAAAACGTTTTTGGTGAAATTAGTTCAAAAAGTAGTTAAAGGGCTTCTTGTAAAAAAACACTTAAAATATTTTTCCAAAATAAACTTGATTTTTTGTTAAAGATTGGTTTCAAAAACATTTTTAATAAAAACTCTTTCAGACTTTTAGTAATTTAAAATCACTTCCATGTTCCAAACGAGCCATATATCCCCATCAAAAAAAAAAAATTATTTCTTTGCCACAACCCTAGCCCTTAAGATAATTCATCATTTTGTGCTAGAGTTAATAAGAAAGACAGATCAACTTCTTCACACTTCATATTTTATCTGTTCTCTGCACCCTGCACCTGCAGTGTTCACTTAACCTTTTTAATTGAAAAAGTAATTTCAAATAATTAAAAACGTGTCCCATAAACAATAAAGGTAATACGCCGATTCGGATTCACCCACTTAATTATTTTACACCAAAACCTCCCATATATGGGCGCATTGGTGAGGCCCGGCCCGGCCCACGAACCCTGTTTGGAATTAACTACGCTGTCTGTGGGCCCTCCGAACAGAACAAAACCTACCGCTTTGAGCTAAATAGGTAAAAACACGGCCACCGCCATCTCCATGCACAGCTCAGAGTCACTCCAGTGCAGTGAATCAATAGCCAAGAAACCATGGCTTCCGTTTTCAAGAACCTTTCTTTCTCCTCCTCCATTATCCCCTGCTTCGTCCCCATATTCTTCTCCTGCTTCTTCGTCGTCTCCCATTCCGAATACTTATCCCTTACCACGTCGCTACCCTCCAGTACGACGAAAATTAGTAATGTATCCGACGGCGGCGAGTGGGTTCTTTTGCACAAGAGCATTGGCGTCTCGGCCATGCACATGCAACTCCTCAAAAACGACAAAGTCATTATCTTCGACTGGACCGATATGGGCCCTTCTAACCTCTCCCTCCCCGACGGTTCCGCCTGCCGTCATTACCTCTTCCACAACAGGACCATAAATGACTGCACCGCCCACTCCCTCATCTACGACCTCGCCACCGACACATTCCGCCCCCTCTTCGTCGCCTCCGACACCTGGTGCTCCTCCGGCGCCCTCGATGCCAACGGTACCCTCGTCCAAACAGGCGGATACGGCGACAACGGCATTCGAAGAATCCGCACATTCTCCCCCTGCGACGACGACAGCTGTAAATGGGCCGAGCTCCCGACAAACCTCTCCGACCGCCGCTGGTACGCATCCAACCAGATACTCCCCGACGGACGCGTCATTGTCGTGGGAGGAAGAAAAGCCTTCACCTACGAATTCTACCCCAAGAAAAACGACGAGTTGAACGATGAGTTGTTCCACTTCCGGTTCTTGGCGGAGACCAACGACCAGGGCGAGGAGAACAATCTTTACCCGTTCTTGCACCTTTTGCCCGACGGGAACCTCTTCATCTTCGCAAACAACCGGTCAATCTTGTTTGATCACAGTAACAACCGGATCGTTAAGGAACTCCCCGGTATGCCCGTCGCCGTCAAGCGGAACTATCCCAGTACGGGGTCCTCCGTTCTCCTCCCGCTTAAAATGAACGGGGTCTTGTCCGGGTCGGGTCTGCCCGAAGTTGAAATCTTGATATGTGGCGGGGCGCTTCCCGGCGCTTTTAACTTGTCGAAAAATAAAATACACGTCGGCGCCTCTAACAGCTGCGGTCGGATAAAGTTGTCCGACCCGCATCCGAAATGGGTCATGGAGGAAATGCCCATGCCACGTGTCATGTCCGACATGCTGCTACTGCCTACTGGTGACGTCATCATCATCAACGGCGCATCGAACGGGACGGCGGGCTGGGACGCCGCTGAAAATCCGGTTTTCAACCCGGTCTTGTACCGGACCTACGAATCGGATCCGGAACGGAGATTCCTGGTGCTGAACCCGAGCAGCATTCCAAGAATGTACCACTCCGCCGCTATTCTTGTGCCAGATGGCAAAATATTGGTGGGCGGCAGCAACCCGCACAATGAGTACAACTTCAGGAGAGCTTTCCCCACTGATCTCAGCCTGCAGGCGTTCCACCCGCCGTACCTGGGCCCACTCTTCGCTCCCTTGCGGCCTTCGATCCTGTCCGTCGAAACGAGGGACGATACCGTATCGTACGGGCAGGAGTTTTCTGTTACCTTTGTTTTATCCGTGTACCGGGCGGATCCCCGGATTTCGGTGGCGCTGGTAACGCCGTCGTTTACTACGCACTCGTTCGCAATGAATCAGAGGATGGTGGTTTTGGACGTGGCACTCCTGGAGCCCCTGTCGACGACTGCTTACAAGATTACGGCGTATGGCCCACCGAAGAACACGGTGGCCCCACCTGGATACTACTTGCTGTTTCTTGTCCACGCTGGCACTCCCAGCCACGGTGTCTGGGTTCGAGTGCAGTGAATGCCATTCATTGGCCAACATTAATTTGTATTTTTGGAGGAGTAATTTAGGATTATTCTTTTTGGGGATTATTGAGAATTGGAATGAAGGTGGACTAGAGAAATGGAATCAGTTAAACAAAATTATTGTGTGATTTTATTGTTAATTATTGTGTTGGTTTAATGCATTAATCCTTAACATTAATAATAATCATAATGTAATCATCTATAAAGACTTATTCAACCAATTCAACGTTTTATTTATAATTCTCTACTTTTTTGATACGAGAATCTATACGATCCTATTTGAAGTGTAGGTCCCCTCCCCTAACAAATCAAGGATGAATACTATATATTTCTACTAGGACAGATAACTTAAGATCACATGATTAAAAAAAAAAAAAAAAAACTGCGCTTAAACCCCATTTTGGCCATCATATTTACAGTCCAAGCAGTTGTCTTGCAGGTTATGATCACCATGCCACATCTTAATTATGATCCTCCCAAAAACAACTCTTTTGCCGAGTACTCTCACGGCACGGGAACGTCCCATGTCAATAATACATAGACATGTTAAGTTTTTGTCCATATAAACTGTGGTGGTAGCGTGCCCATGCCATGTAAGATGCTATCTTGTTTTACTTATTTGTTCTCGTTGATCTGTATTTGTATCTGACTGCCCAGAACAGATAGTGCAAGAAATTCAATCCACTCAGCACGCACATGAGCCAATAGAATCTCTCCAGGTGGTATTGATTCAGCTTTTTACCAGCCAGCCATTTGCGCTCGGAGTACTTCCCTGAAACATCATTCACCACAGAAACAATCACCGAGCTTAGGTAATACCCCATTGCCAAGGATGCCCAAGTGAGAGATGTGGCCAGAGACCTCATGCTTTGCGGCGCTTCCGTGAAGAAGAACTCTAACAGTCCGGCCAACGTGAACAGGTCTGCCGACCCCAGGAACAAGTACTGCAGCGCAATCCAAAAGAACGTGATCGGGAGCGGCTCGGTTGAGTCGAGCATCCCGGAGTTGGTCGCTACACGCTTGCGCTTGATCTCGACAAGGGCTGCTATTGCCATGGCAACGATGGAAAGGGCTAGGCCGGTCCCTATGCGCTGCAAGTGGGTGATCCCCATTTCGGATTTTGTGGCCTTACGTGCGAAAGGGATGATGAAGAAGTCGTAGACTGGCGCTAGGATCATGATGAAGAGTACGGGAAAGATGGGGAGGGAGGCCGGCGGGACTTTTAGAGAGCCGAGCTTTGTGTCCATTGTTGCGGCTTGTTGGACGGAGAATGTTGAGAGCTGAGCTAGGCAGCAGTTGAGCATGATTGTGCACGCGAAAATTGGAAGGATTTTAAGCACGATTTTGACTTCTTCGACTTGCTTCACGGTGCAATGTAGTTTATCATGGACTGGCTTGTTCACTAGAACTGCTCTGTTTAGGAACTTGAGGCTTTCAGTTGGAGTTTGATCCTCAGTGGCGTAATTCTCCTTCTCCGCGGTGTTTGATTCCGATACCGCGTGGGCAATTGGGGTTGAAGAAGAAGGGCTTGGAGTCATGCTTACAATGGCATTGCTTGGACTTTTGGTCACACAGCTGTGAAGTGTGGCAGCAATCAAAACCTGCTCAATAACAACACAAATTAAATTATTTAACATGGAATTCAAGCAACCTTTTAGATGTTTAGGCCCCTCCCAACATTTTAGATTAGTTTAAAGTAGAATATCGTTTGTACCTGTAGATCTCCCTGGCATATTAGTAATGTGTAATTTATGTTATCACGAACATTAGAATTTACATGGAAGTTGCGCATATCGTCTTAATTTTTTCTTACCTTAAAAATGGTTGTTAGGGGACTTCCATTTGGTATCTTGTTCCGGTAGAGAGCGGAACCAGCAAGAAACACCGGTATAGACAAAAATATGCTAATGGTGGCAATTCCAAAACCCCATTCCCACCCTTTGTTGTCTTCAATCCACACTACCAGTGTCACCGCAATCAGGCCGCCGCAAGAGAGGCAGAAGATAAAGTAGTTGAAGAAGGTTGATCTCTGCTTCCTTCCTTGTGGAGTGCTCTCGTCAAATTGCTCTGCACCATGTGAGGGTAAGGAGCCCTTTATCCCTCCGACCCCCAGTGCCACCAGATACAGGCCTAGGAACAACATGGCAGCTTTTCCGCCTTCGACTTCTTGGCATGGATCGTCGAGGCTGCCTTGAGTGCACGGTGGTGGCTTCAGTGAAGGTAAGCGAGCTTGCACTGTGAGTAGGATCAAACCCTGACGATGTTGGAAATTTGAATTGGTTAACAAGGCAGATAAACATTAAGCAAAAGAATAAAACATTTGCAAGTTAAAAAGGTTAAATTCTCATATTCTGTGATTTTGGGGTAGATGTGAGTTAGCTCGGTCAGTAAGGACAATAGGTTTGCCCTTGGCACTCTCTTTCGATCTGCTTCTCTGTGAATTAGACTAATTTAGAATATCGTCTTGTTGAGATTGTGAATTTGGGTTTTGTCCCTGTATGGTGGGCCTGGGCGCTGGCCTATACACATGGCATATGTTGGGCCTTGGTCTCATATCTTGCTGCTAGAGACCTATCAGGTCACCAGCTGATGTAGGACATGATTGGGCCACAAAGAATGGGCTCCACACCCTTCAAAGTGACCACCATAAGAGTTATAAAGTTTCTGCATGTTCCATCAACAATAAGCCCCAAAAATTTCAATGTATCCTTTTCATTGGGGAGGAAAAAAATTGAGAAATGGCATTGTACAGATGTGATAAATCCAATAAGCAAACAAGGAAACCTAAAAAAATTGGGTCCCACATCCACGTGTTGAATCCCCACTACAATTTTTGGAAGTTCTGCACAAACAAGGACTTGCTGTATGAACTGTCACTACACATGAAAAAAATGTTTTTGGGGTCTTATTTATCCTAAAAACCATGATTGATGGCCCTAATTTGATGCACATTTTATCGAATTTCACATCCCTCTCAGTCTCCGGCTCCTTATCAGATCCGTAACCACACACGTGGTTCAGTGAATTTGGACGGAAGACACCGCCGTCGGATTTGAAAAAACTTTCCTCTTGCATAGTTATAGGAGATCCAAAATAAGGAAAGTTAATGTTGGGTATGGGTCTTTCATCTATTATGTATATGATTGAATTTTACTTGGTTACAATCATGTTTCCCAAAACATGGGTGTACGTGGCAGAAAAAGGGCCGGCACATGGGTCGAGGTGATACACTAATGGGTGATAAGAGTGAGATTTTATCATGTAGTACTGCGTAGTGTTTCTATCAAGCAAGTCTAAGCAAAGACAAGATTGTCAAGGGAGAAGACAAAGATAGGATTGTATTAATGCATGCGTTGCTGTCAAGCTGAAATTGAGTAATCGAAGTTTCTCATTGTCATGGCATGATATGAGACAACAAATGCATAGCCATACATGGGCCCTCAATCTTGAAAGTAATTTATATGATACGAGTATATTGTTATCGTGATGTCTAATACAAATGATACATTGTCATACGGACAAAGGTGGAGCTAGGAAAATCTATAGGAGTAAGCTATGTTTTCTTTCTTGTTCGAGATAAGCTAATTTTGCCGAAAAAAAAATTAAAAATCTAGGCTAGTTTGGAATTAGACAACTTTTGCGAGTAAAATTACACGCAATTTTATAAAATCAAAAATTAGCCTTGGGTTATAGCCTACTACAGCCATAGTGTGGCTCTGCCCTTGATCTTGCGCATGTCTTTGTATCATTAACACACAACATTTCAATAACGATGTATCTGTGACATATAAATCATTCCCCACAATCGTAGGAATCCCACCATCCGGTTGGCTACGTTGTATGATTTGTTTTGGTGTTTTTAACCTAAATTTGCATCCTATATAACATAAAAAAATTTCCCAAATTCCACAAACCCATAAAGGTTTTGGTTTTTAGGGTAGAGTGAAGTTGGGTACAGAGGAAGAGCACACTACCCTAATAGACTTAGTTCAGTCCAAATCTACAAAACTCATATACTTTTGACTTTGTAAACTAATAAATCCTCTTTTAGAATCATTGACCTTATTAATGAGAAATTTTGTTGTGCAACCGAGAACTATTCCTACTTATTCTAAACGGATCAGGATCCTCTCCTGATCTAAGAATGAGGATTTCCTTGACCAAGGAGTGTGGACCATTAGATGAAAATTCAACGGCTACAAACAAGGGGGTCCTTTTAAAGTTATAATAATTATAACCGTTGGATTTTCATCCAACGACCCACACTCCTTGATCAGGAGAGGATTCTCATCCATTCTAAACTAACTCAAGTTGTAAGGAGACAAATTCAAACTTAGCTACAAAGTAGAGAGTATACTGATTAAACTAACTTGATTATTAAAACTCATAATATTAGATTACTATGGCCCCTAACTTTGACTCTGTTGCCTAATAAATCCTATCTGAAGATCACGGTGACTATAATAAGAGATTCTAACGTGTAACCGAAAGTGTGTCTCTAATACCGATTTTGTCATCCCGCACTATATGTAAGAATTTCTCCTTATTAACTTAATAAGGCTATTACGTTTTTCCCATGAAAAAAAGAAAAGAAGTATGGTGATATATTTTCTCTAGGCCTCAACTGCAACCAAGTGAACTCATTGACCACAATAATTATGATTTATCCAATATACCCATACAGTTTTCAATTCCTGAGAGGCTAAGAGGGTTTTATGGCGCTTGCTTCCAACCCCAGCTCGCACAGACTCAGTTCCAACTGAAACGTGATCTTGCAAGCGACGGCCTTTTGGACTCCCTCCAGAGAACCATATATACATACACACACACACACACACACACACACACACACACATATATATATATATAAATATTATTTAGAATTAGTAGTCTTAAAAATATGATGTATGATGCAAAAGGTAAGGGGAAAGGAATGGAAGAAATGCATAGAGACGTGCAGATTTCAAAATATACAGAGCAACTAACAAAAGAGCAAGATAAAGCTTGTAACTGAAAACAGAAAAAGGAAAGAGAAACTTGCAAGCAGAAGTAACCAAAAAAGAAAAAACGGTGAGAGAGAGGAGGGAGAGAGAGAGAGAGAGAGAGAGAGAGAGAGAGAGGGGGACTGGAAACTGTATTTACCAGAAATTCAATGACTGTACTTATCAGGTAGATGTGATAAGTTGTGAAAAAGGCGTCGGATAAGAAACCACCGAGAAGGGCCAGAAGGAAGGCGGTGCCCATGAAATCTGTGACATCGTTTGCCGCTTTGGACGGAGATAAATGCATGTAGTCCGATAGGTACCTGACCAAGTTGCTTGCATTTGCCAGATATGCCAAGTTCTCCAATACCTCGGCCACTAAATACATATGGATAACAACACACACAAAACGCAGCAAAATCAGTGAAAAAAACCACCAAAAACTTAGAAATACAACATCATCAATGATTTCAAAAGCCCGATTCTTTGTTTTGGGGATTGGAGTGATCAGGATTAGGTAGAAATGTTCTGTTGTTCATCAGGTGACCAACAAATGAATCATCACTCACCCTTGAATTTGATATCAAGGGTGGAGAATGAATGAACGTGCTTTCTATGTTTTAGCTAGTCTCAATCCTCATGTGAAATCCAAGGGTATACATATACCCAGGTGATCAGTTAGCCAAGAGAACGGGACTACAGAATTAGGGAACATACCCAGCACAAACGAGGAAGCAAGCATGCCACCATGCCGGCCTCTGATTGCAGATCGGCTTCTCCAGTCAACATAGCCTTCCCATCTGGTGCTGAGATGCTGTTCTTGCTCCTACAGGAACCATTACCAAAACGCATGAGGCATAATTGCAATAAAGAAAAAGCAGCATGAAAGGAAAAAAGTGTGAGGGATGAAAGGAAGAAAAAGGAGAAAAAAAAGAGGAGGAACCCACCATTTTCTCTCTTGTGCGCCCTCCTTTTTTTTCCCACTCTGAGGAGTGGGGGTGGGGGGTTTCAGTTTAATTTGGATCGAATCCCTGGTGCCAGAGGAGTTTGATTAGAAATAAAGAGTGGTGACTGGTGGGAGATTTAAAGAGTTGTGAAGGATAGGAGGGAAGGAGTCCCAACTTGGGGAGAGAATGGTCCTGAGTCAACAGACCCTTTAAATTAAGGAAGATTAGTACTGTTTAGTCTTTACATCTAAAAGTCAATAGACCCTTTTAAAAGTAATTTTATTAATTTGTGTATACATATTAAATTGTAACTTGCATAAGAATTCTTCGTATGTAAGCAAGTATTTTTTTAACTTTATAGGTCTTAGATCATTTTAAATTTATAGGCTAGTGATACTTTGACATTGTTTAAAGTTTTTCTTTCTATTCAATATGTCAAATTATAAACATAAATTTCAGATTATAGTAAATGCTTTAAACCAATAAAAAGCACGGTCAATTAACAATCACTTTGATAAATGTTTAAACCAATAAAAATTTAATAAAAAACATTTAATAATTAAGTAAAAATTAATTGAAGCTGCTATCAAATTTAGCAACCCCTTTGTTGCCAATCCATGTCATGACTTGGACAATACTTGTGTTGTTTTTTTTGTTTTTATTTTTGCTTTTTAAATCTCTTTTGGAGATGCTTTTATTGTCTAATTAGTGTCCCTTAATTTTATTTTTGACTGAAAAATTACAGCAATTTCTATTAGTAAATATTAGATGGAGCCTGGTACTGTATGTTTAAATATAAAAAATTTAAAAAGAAAAAAAAAATATATCATGGAAGAGAGAGAAGTTGGAGATAAATGTGATGGAGAAAAAGAGAGAGAGAGAGAGAGAGGGGGAAGAGAGAGAGAGAGAAAAATGTGAGTTATTTTTATACTTTTTATAAAATTAGAAACATGTTTTAACGACAATGTGGGAGAGATAAAAAAAAAGGTAAATTTTTTTATGTAAAATTACTTTCACGCCCATGAATTTTCTGATATTTTCTTTCAATTATGCATGAAAGGGTATAATAGTATTTTTATTGATTCTGAGTTAACAAATAATGCTTTATTAATATGTAGTATAAGAATTTAACTTTTAGAAATAGATATGCTTTGGTTTGACAGAAGTTGTATATATATATTTCTTAGACAAAACATAAATTTCAAATTATAGTAAATGCTTTAAACCAATAAAAAGCACGGTCAATTAACAATCACCTTGACAAATGTTTAAACCAATAAAAATTTAATAAAAAAAATTTAATAATTAAGTAAAAATTAATTGAAGCTGCTATCAAATTTAGCAACCCTTTGTTGCCAATCCATGTCATGACTTGGACAACTCTTGTATTGTTTTTTTTGTTTTTATTTTTGCTTTTTAAATCTCTTTTGGAGATGCTTTTATTGTCTAATTAGTGTCCCTTAATTTTATTTTTAACTGTTTCCTGGTACTGTGTGTTTAAATATAAAAAATTTAAAAAGAAATAAAAATATATATCATGGAAGAGAGAGAAGTTGGAGATAAATGTGATGGAGAAAAAGAGAGAGAGAGAGGGGAAGAGAGAGAGAGAGAGAGAGAGAGAGAGAGAGAGAGAGAGAGAAATGTGAGTTATTTTTATAGTTTTTATAAAATTAGAAACATGCTTTAACGACAATGTGGGAGAGATAAAAAAAAAAGGGTACATTTTTTTATGTAAAATTACTTTAACGCCCATGAATTTTCTGATATTTTCTTTCAATTATGCATGAAAGGGTATAATAGTATTTTTATTGATTCTGAGTTAACAAATAATGTTTTATTAATATGTAGTATAAGAATTTAACTTTTAGAAATAGATATGCTTTGGTTTGACAGAAGTTGTGTGTGTGTGTATATATATATATATATATATTTCTTAGACAAAGAGATAGGGAAGCATCAAATCATCCAAAGAAGAAGAAAAATATGAGGCAAAAACTTTAGGGTATCCCTTGCATTGTTTGATCACCAAACTATATATTAATGTAAAGGTGTTGGTGCCTCACCTTCCTAATTATGGTATGTAGGTTGTCACAGAATGGGGATGTTAAAAGGGTGCTCAATACACACACACACACACATATATATATATATATATGTGAGATCCTCTCTCGACTGTTACTAGCTCTCCATTCAAATGAACAAAATAAAAAATAAATAAAGAACATATTCTCTGTTCTTTTAATCTTCAACACAAGCATAACGATCAACTTACTTAAATTATAGATCCCCTGACAGATGGAAATCCAAGTTGCATGACAGAGTGGAGGTTAAACATATGGCATTATCACAATGCTTTTGGACATTTGTGAGTAAAAGATTAGTGATGGAAAATTGAAAGTCAGTCAAAATTTTAGCTTTTTAACGACTTACTTGATACCTACCATCAACAAAGGCTTACGAGTCATCAGTCTTATACTCATCAACTGCTAGTGCTACGACAGCGGATTTATTTGTCCTAATGCAAATAAGATAATATATATAATAGTATCGAGATTATCTATCTTATAAATTGTTGCCTGAACCGCAAGGTCAATAAACTTTTGTCGATCTAATATTTTTTTTTTCATATATTATATATCTTTATCTGACAAAACTTTCGTACAATAAGGGTGAAACATGGTTGAAAATGATCATATAGTCCATTATTAAAAAGTGGAATTATATATACTATTCCCCACGTTCACAAAGATATGCATTCAATCATCAGCTTTATGAAAAAACTTGATCTCTTTTTGTGCATATATACACGCGCACGCACACACAACGGCCAAGGGCCGACAGAGAATGTGGTCGCATTTTGATTAGCTGACCTGTGAGAGTCTGAGAGTGTGCTGCTCTGGTCTCTACCACGACTTCAATTCAGTGTTCTGTGGACCAAGGTCTTTGCTTGGAGTTGGATAAAACACGTATCCAGATGAAAACATTGGGGACGCATTGGGAATCAATTTCATAGTTATACAAAATTAGGTTTTGTTTCTATAACTTGCTACTGTCCGATTCTTCGTACATATCACGCTAAATATATTAAGTAAATTTTAACCTCAAACTACGTACATGTCTCTTAAAATCAGAGCTTGCATTATAAATTTTATGACGTTCAAATATAATTTTCTACTTAATTAACAATATGTGTTGTTTGAAATTGAATGCTAGGTAAACTAATTTTTAGACCAAACATATAAATCAAGTGATGTGTCACCAATACAAAAATAAATACGTTGATCAACATTTGAGTAATAATCCAATCATCAACAATCATGTTATTTGATTTACAAAATATAATTTATATAAATGGCATGTTTCCCTAGCATTACCCATGTTGTTAGTTCTATTAGAAGCCCTGTGGGTTTAAACTCAAATTCAAACGGAGTACTTACGATAAGAATCCAACTCGTTTTTACATAACAATAAACCACACTGGAATTAGCCTAGCTAGTAGGTAGGGTAAATAAGATGATGGGTAAGATTAAGTTGGTCTAGCGTTCAAAACTCTTCTAAAATTTAAATTAAAAGTCAAATAATTTTTTTATACAAACGGTTTATTTACACTAAGATGATGAAAAATAAATTAGTTGCGAACTCGATATTCTCAAAATTTGACTAAAAGTCAGATAATGTTAAATAAACAAAACATACAAATTAGGTTTAAACACATGCACGGTGAGAAAACATTGCATCATGTAGCTCGTGTTTATTTATTAACTGGCTTATTTTCCTTAACATGAAAAGATGCAAAACTGAAAGAGACATGCAAGTAGGTTACTTAGCAGAAACAACACGGGGTTTCCCTTCTTCTAAAGTTTTTGACAGTAATTTTCAACTTGTGGGTTGTGGCCTCTCGTAAGTCACGATAAGCAAGTAACCCTAGCTATCGCGTTACTTTGACTGGAGGTCACTGTTCAACAAAGACAGCACTTGATACATATCAGTTCAAATCAAATGCCGTTTGGATACGATTCTGGGAAGTTTGGATATGCAACTGCAATTAATCAATTTATCTCTAGGCATATATTCTACATATCATGAAGTTTACTTAATATCTTCCTTTCTTATTTTATTCTATGATTTAATATAATATATGATCCCTTATATATATTCCTAATTTCTATGATTCATAATTTTTATACCAACTGCTAAAAGGAAAATTGGAAAACCAAATACATAATTTATCACAAGAATGACCTAGTTACGCTAATTGGTCATCTACATATACAAAGCCGGAAGGCAAAAAGGGTGAATCATCATAATTTCAAAAACATCCTCCAACAAAATAAAAAGAATAAAATTACAAGTAACGAATAACATGTAAAATAACAAATTGTTGTACGTGTAAGCATGTGGCAAAAGGCTAGTCAGCAATTAAATTAACATCAAAATATAAACTACGGAACTAAATTTTCTTGAAAATTCTTTGAACGTGACAATATATCATATTTTAAGTTGAATGGGAAATGATCAAAACTATTTTTCAGAATCACGGCAAAAGGCTAGTTAACAATTAAATTAATATCACAATACAGACTACAAAACTAGATTTTATTGAAAATCTTTGAACATGACAATATATCACATTTTAAGTTGAACGGAAAATGATGAAAACTATTTTTTAGGATTATGCGTGTGGGTCAACAATTAAATTAACGTCACGAGACAGACTATGAGACCATATTTTGTTGAAAAATCTTTGAACATGACAATATGTCATATTTTAAGTTGAACGGAAAATGCTCAAAAGTATTTCGGAATCAAATACTTTTTTATCGTATTATAAATAAATTGTTAAATTTTTATATGGAAAAAGGAAGGAAGACTATCTGGAAAATGATATCCACATCACTTTATTCACAAGTAATCTACTGTATATATCCATCTTTGACTGCAATTGTGGCCGCATCGCAATTTACAACATATGATAACAAATGATTAAGGTCAGTCTGGTAAGAAATAAAGTAATAATATCTCAAATATGTAAGAAATCCATAGTGCAACGTGGAAGCTTATTATCAACACCAGATCATCCATGTAACATCTTGTTCATTAACTGATCATTGACGGGTGACGTTCGATGAGAGTTTGAGCAAACCTGGCGTTTACGTAATTTT